ACCCTTGGATCTCTTATCTTGTTTTTCAGCCAGCCCACAACTACCCTTAGATCTCCTCCATCAAAACATCTTTCTAGTTTTTGGCCATTCTCCAGCCTAGTAGCACTACTAAAATCCCAGCCCTGGTAGAATCCCCAAAGCCTATGAGCCTACGTAGAGCTGTCAATTGGTCGGGTCTACCCGACTGAACTGATGGTGTCATTCTGGTTCTGTGGTTGTGTCCTGGTTAGTAATTGGGTCGGGACCAGTTCTTGCTATTTCAAACTGGTTCAGACCCTAACTGATTATATAGTTAATAGTATATAAAGATCACTTGGTTATTATTTGTAATTTTTGTTATATTTTGTCCAAAAGAGTAAATTTGATAAACAGTACATAAGATAATTATGGTTAAAAACACATATTTTATCAACATATAGACAGTTTAGTATTTTAATTTCAGTTTTGTCCTGATTAGTAATTGGGTCAGGACCGGTTCTTTCTGTTTCAAACTGATTCAGAACCGAACTGATTATATAGTTAATATTATATAAAGACCACTTGGTTTTTTGTAATTTTTGCAACATTTTGTCTAAACGGGTAAATTTGATAAACAGTGCATACATAAGATACTTATGGTTAAAAAGTAAAAATGAATATAAACATTTTAGTATTTTAATTTCAGTTTTATTAAGGTAATATTATCAAATTAAGTTCTAAATTGTTATTATAATATTCTCATTGGTAATTTTATGTGCCAAGTATAATTGGGTCAGACCAGATTGTCCCGATTAATAATTGGTTTGGTTCTGAGTCCTTTTTATTGCCACCATTATTAATCAGAATGGGACTAGTACACCCTGTCCTGAAACAGACCCAACCCATTGACAGCTCTAAACCTATGGGTCCCATAAAAAAATAGCCATAATATGATTCATGGTAATTCTTGATGACACCAGCAATGCTTGACGGGCCTGGATTGCCCAAATTCCAACTATCAAAGCTTAACTTGATATAATTAGGAGCCAGAGGTACCAACAAGAATGTAATGATCCTAGCTGATGACGAAACAGCTTCAAAGTGCCATCCCCTACTAATATCATCTACTGAAAAGGAATAAAAAATTCTTAAAAGTTTTTATCCAATGTGCCACATTAACAAAGATTTTTTTATCAAAACTACTTGAGTTATCTAGACAAAGCTTCCCCTTTTCTTTGGTGGGGAAAAAAATAGACCTTAGATAGACTTTCCACATCCCAGGGTGGATCCACCTGCACACAAAAATGTGAAAAGAATCTAGAATACCTGATAGAAATGGATAAGAGATTAGTAAGTGGAAGATAGATTTACTTGCTTTGCACAAGATACATGTGGGGAGACAAGCACCAGTAATGTTCCTCTTTTCTGTAGAGATTCAAAGGTGTTTCTTTTCAAAAGTATTGCCTTCAACACCCCCCCAAAATAACTCTAATTTTAGGGTTTTCTTTTTACAAAAAAGGGTAACTGGAAGCTTAGGTCCTGAAAAAGGGGTCTTGAAAAGATAGGCACAAGAGAAAGAACCATGAACCATTAGCAATTTTGAATCATATTCTGCAATCTGGCATAGAATCATCAAGGACAACCCCTTCAAGGAAATCGAGGACAACCATTTGTTGGATTCAGCAATCAGCAAATAGACTAGCTGATAAGTTAGTGGCTAGCCAGAAGGGGAAAACAAAAGGGAACATTTGTATTTGGAAGACATCAATGAGAATTGGACTATTAGGGGGAAATTAAGTAAAACAATTAAGGCAAAAGGGGTGGGCAGCACCAGCTGACCAAATTCTCCATGGGGTGCAAGGTGTACATTTCTTGTAAACCATTCATTCTCAAAAAAGGAATACCCCTTCAAGATAACTAACAAGGTTAGTGATCTCAGATGCTAGCCCATCCCTAAAGCCTCTCCCATTTCCTAAATCCCAAGAAAGCCCCTTTGTGAGATGCATGCAATGTAGAATTGAAACAAATTACTATTTACAAGCCTTGTGAATATTCTGCATGGCACAAGAGTATCATCATCATCATATCCAAGCCTTATCCCAACTATGAAGCCTGTTTCACCATTCCATTCTGTTTAATGCCATATCAATTGTTAAATTATTGGCACTTAAATCATTTCTTACTACCCTGCCCATGTCCTTTTTGGTCTATCCCTAGCCCTTCTGGCCCCTTCAACTTACAACAAACCACTTCTTCTTACAGGTACTGTCAATGGTCTTCTATGCATGTGACCAAACGAACCTACTCTACTTTCTCTCATTTTATCACCTATTGGCGCTACTCCTAGGTTCTTTTGAATGATTCATTTCTAATCGACCCTCCCTAGTTTTTACACTTATACATTACACATTTCTGCCACACTCAATTTTTAGACATGTTGTTTCTTGACTGCCCAACACTCTACTGCATAGTCCATACAACATTGCTGGCCTCACAACCGTTTTACAGAATTTTCCTTTTAATCAATGGTACTCACCTATCACATAAAACTACAAATGCACCTCTCCATTTTGCCCATCCTGCTCTAATTCTATGGGAGACATCCTCTTCAATCTCTCCCTCATTATGAATTATTGAACCAAGGTACCATAAAAGGTGACATTGAGTTATCTCTTGGCCTCCAATCCTAATGTACCCTGAATTGTAGTCCTATCATTATTAAATTTACATATCATATATAATCTGTTTTAGTCATATAAGGCCTTTCTGGAACAACACATTGTAAGCAAGGTCTCACAGCTTACAGCATGCACACTATTGTAAACACCGATTGAACTTATCAAATGACCCTAAAATGCACAAAACTCAAAGTTGCTGCCAAATTGCAGAAATGGGTTAAATAATAGAGGGGGGGAAACTGCAGAAGATGACTTTCAAAGAATAAGTGACTCTAGAAATCTATCTTCAAGACAGATAACGCATGCATTGAAATTTAAAATTTTCACCCCGTCACTGTTTGAAGTAAGCAATCCACAAAAGCCAATCTATTAAATACATCATAGCACTTGATTAGAGAATGTTTACTGTCCTAGTTACCTTGAAAGCTTTGAGCTTTGAAGAAAGAAATGTTTCAACGTATTGAGAAATAATAAGAAGAGAGTGAAAAAAAATTAAGGATAGCCTAGAATTGAAGCACTCTCCAAGAAATGAGTAGTCGATTCTAGGTTTTCATTTTACATCTTGTGTTCTATTTCCACCGCAATCCAAACATAGTCAATGAATTCAATGTATTAGCCTGGCTCCTCATTCTATTTCTATGCGAAACTAAACTCAGCTCGTTCTTCAAAATCCACCAGAAAAATGCATGTTTCATAAATTACCAGGAGAAACATTAAATGCTCACATAAATTCGAATTGGTCCCGTCATATGCCCAAAATGCCGTACAATCCAGTCTGTTCCCAAATAATTACATCAACAAGATCTCCAAAACCAAGACAGAGAAATCCAACTCCAGAAACTGGAGTAACAAGAAATACAATTTCAGATACTTAAATTACAAGCATCCAAGCTTGACGGTAGGGGAAAAGAACAACAGAAATATTTAATTATGCCATGAAAACCTGAACTTCAACAGAAAATGGCAAAATGGATAAGAAAAGAATGAATAAACCAAGAAGTTTAAACTGACCATCGGAGCACTTGTTCTTGGAGAGAGACGCAGAACGATTGTGTCTGTGATCAGGCGGTGGCTTGCCGGCGGAGGTGGACGGGACCGATAATCTATCCTTGTCCTTGCCGTTCAAACCCTTAGACGTCGACGGAGACGATTTCTCCAGAACCTTGTCCAGGGCATCATTGATCCGCTTACGATCGATAGGACCGATCTCCGACTTCGATCCGCCGCCGCCTCGATCTCTATACATGTCCTCCCCTTTCTCTGCTGAGAACGCACTTGTCAATGACAAAGTATATCAATCGCCTCCCCTCAACATAATATAACCAAAACCGAGCGAAAAAAAGCAAACCCTAGATTGTAGATAAAGAGCGAACAGGTTAGGGTTTTGAGTGCAAGCAACAGGACAAATAGACTATTCTGACGATCAGACAGGTAGAGAACCCTAGATTTACAGAGAAGAAAAAGAAGAGCTGAAAGGTAAGGTTCTATCTAGACAAGGAGAATGTTGGAGTCAAGACAGAACAAAGCGAAAGAGAGCGAGCCCTTCCCTCTCCCTCTCTCTCTCAGCTTTTCTGGCCTCGCTCGCTTAGAAGAGAACACACAAAGAAAGGAAGGATAGAGAGAGAGAGAGAGAGAGAGAGATTGCGTAAGAGGTGTGTGATGGTAAGACGTTCGCACCCGTCGTTCCGGCGAGGTTGCCTATGCCGGCGGGGACTCCGGAGTCTATTTTTCTCTTGGTTCTTTTTTTGTTTAATAGATCTGTTTATAATAACGTGGTATGTTTGTTTGTGTGTGGTTTCATTTCTCTACGAGTACATTTTTTGGACTCTCCCGCCGCTGCATCATTCATGCCAATGGCAATTTGCTGAGGCCAAAAGCATTTGTTCTGTTTTCTGTTCATGAAGAAGCTTTGAGCACGTGGAGTGCTTGTGTGGCTGATCTAAACCGTTCATCTGATGGAAAACTATGTGGACTGGATTGGAGCCTGGAGTGTACAATTTGGGTTGGGCCAGCCCGAGACTTGCCTTAGCTCCTCGCCTCTGGGGCCTAGGCCTTCGGACCGGGCCATTTAAAATTTGATAAAAGCCCAAACTGAGCCTGCCCATTTAAAGGGCTGCTGACTTCAGCCAACAGCTGAAAATGCTGAAATGAATTTGTTTTTTTTTTTTTTGGTTTTGTCTTTTAGATAATAATAGTGTTTCAAGGAGGTTATGGGATTCTTAATGGATGAAGCTGAAATTTTATTATTTAATTATTTTAACAATTGAACAACAAAGCAAAAAGTTTTTGATTCAGCAACTTCAGCCATTATATAATGGTTCTTAAGCTAGCTCAGCTGCTTTGGTTCAACTCATAAGCTATGTTTGTTGATAATTTGGTTAGCTGCCTGAAAAGTTAGAGAAGCCAGAAAGATAATCTTGGCAAGACACCATTGGATAAATTAGTTATTCAAAAAGTCTGGAGCAAACAGCTTTTCAACTGGCTGACTCACAGCCCATTTGGCTCTCCAAAATTTTCACCAAACATAGGTTGTTTGTATGTGAGTACAGGGTGTCTGTATGGGCCCCTAATACAAACAGCCAGAAGTTATTGGGCTTTAGCCTTCCTAAATGGGCACTAGACTACAATGAGTGAGTAGTGAAAAATGACAAAAACTAAGAATCTTAACCAATGCCTAGATGCCTATAACATTGCCAACAAGTCAAGCCCACTTCCGGCTCAAAATTTGTAAGGTTAGTAACCAGCCCAAAACCAACCCTGTAATTAGCTGAGCCTATGGGGTCTGAATCCTATAAGATCCGATTATAATTGGAATGCCTAGTTGCTAATATGCTCTTTCTTCTCTCAAAATATCTTATAGGATATATATAAATTAGAACAAGTAGGGGTGAGGAAGAAAAACTGAAAAATCAACCGAAATCAAACTGAAGATCTGGTTAATTAAACTGATCAGTTTGGTATTTTAAAAAATCAAAGGTACTGGTTTGGTTTCAGTTAACCAATATAGAAAACCGATAGTTAACTGAACCGACCAATAAACATATATTTTTATATATTTTGTGTATATTTATGTATATTATATATTTTATATATAAATTATATATTTTCTATATTATAAATTAATAAATATGTATTATATATAAATATATATTTATAATATATGATATATTATTTATTATCTAAAATATAATATTTTATGTATATTTCTAATTTTTTATTATATATTTATATATTTTTTATAATATATATTATAAATATAAAAAACCAACGAATCAAACTGACGGCTAACCAAACCAGTCAACTGGTTAACTGATCGGCTTCGGTTCAGTTTTGATTACCAGTTTTCCAAAAACTGGTAACCCCAATTCAGTTTCAAAAATAAGTCTCTAGTTCAGTTTCAAAAATAGGTCCACGGTTCAGTTACCAAACCGTGAGCACCCCTAAGAAGAAGTAAATACCAATTACAACCCAACCCCAAAGCCTGGGTGATAGGGGCCACATCATTTTGGTTCTGTTAGGCCCCGGATGGCAAAGTAGTTGTCGGCCTGAAACCAATTCATCCTACATATTTTGTTTGTGGCTGAACCATGGTCAAAGACTCAGGCAGGTATCTCGGCCCAAAAGCCACGAACCCAGCCCAGCCCGCTAATTCTGGTCACAAGAACCATGAAAATGGCCTAGGGCCCATCAGTTGCCACCTCTCCAATGTTTTAAGAACTAGAGAATGACTCTGTATTGAGTACAAGGTTAGTAATATGATATTTTTTATGGAAAAATTTATGATACCAGAAAGTCTTTTTCTTGAAAATAATAAGATGCCGTTTGAGGGAGAAGCTTTTCAGAGGATTTTTTTCCCTTCGAACACCCCCTTATTGGCCCCAATTAAACATATCAGTTTTAACTTTCAACTTCTCATTTGAGCCATTATTTGTAAAAGGGCTGGTGGCCAATATATATGATTTTGTTTTTTCATTTTAGGTTGAATGGTTTCTTGAGATGGTATTAGAGCTAATCAGACCAAGTGGTCTAGTGTTTGATTATGGTTGTCCTCCATTATAATTAATTAAATTTCAACATAAAGGTATTAGTGGGCCTAAATTTGTCCTTGCTTTCAAACCTAATGGGCTTTTATATGAGGGGGCATATTAGAGAATGAAAACTGCGCCTAACAACTTAAACTTTTATGTTGCATGGTTTTAAAAAAATGACTTGGAAATGGAACTGTTCTGGCCACTGATTTCTGGGTCGATGATTCGACCATCTGGTTCGAACAGATAGTCTGTTATGACAATAAAAATTAAAAGGCCAAAAACTGTTGAACGGGTTGACGGGTCAATGGGTCGTTGATCGATTCAATGGTTTTTGGCCAAGAGTCGGGTTTGGGGTAAAATGGAACCGGTTGGCCAAGAGTCGATTCAACGGCGGTCCCAAAGCCATGTTATGTTGAATCATGAATGGTTACTTGAGAAACACATTTATTGGCAGACACCCACAAAACAAAGTTGATTTTTTATTAGGAGAATGACAATTCAGCGCAGCGTCAGAATTTTTAGGCCCAACATACAGTTGGGGTAGGTGCCAGCTTGGAATTGATGCCAATTCACAAGTGGATATTGATGTAATGATAGAGATATTTGACATTTTGAATTTTTGTAAGTATACAGTGGAATTCAGAATTTTGCATTTAACTGCATCATACTTTTCTGATTACTTTTTTTTTTTTTATCATTTCAATCAAACACCGTACCAAACAATTAAAAATGGTAAACTCAAAGGGCCACATGTACACGTTGATTTTTGGCCCAGCTGATTTAGTAGTTAGGACAGTGTTCAAAACATGTACATCTAAACACCTATGAAACTACATATCACTAGCTTCATTTTGCTCCTATCATGGTTGGAGTAATCCTCTTGACTTACAAAGTTACAAATAAAAAATATCAATTTTTCACATATTATTGTAAAAAGCATTTGGCCGGAGGTATGTCCTCTGATGATCGAGTAGAAGCCAAAATTTTTTCCACATCACCAGGAGTGTTTTGGGCTCAATGGATAGTTAATTGGGATGTAGAACCCCTGGATTCTATCAAAAGCTTCGTGGTTTTGAGTATTTGACACCACCTATAGCGCTGATAACGCTTCACAAATCACAGTTGTATGCTTTCCAGTCTCACCATTAAAAGACTCCTAGGCTTTTTTTTACATCTTAGATATAAGAGTAGTATCCCTGCAATAACTATTAGAAGCCCTCTTGACCGTTTTATTGGATATATTGTTACAGTGATCCCATCCAATAGGGGTGTCAATATATATGGACCGGTTTTGGGCTCTACCCCATCCAAATCAAAATCAAATTGGAAAGATTGAATGAACCAAAGATATATTAATGGATTTATATTGGATTGGGTCGGATTGAACCAATATCCAGTCCATTGATAGAAGATAAGAATACACGTGTCAATGGACCAGTTTTGTGTTGGTACCAATCTAAATTAAAACCAAATTTGAATGGATTGCATGTTTTCGACATTGAATTGGTGTTACATTAAGAGGTATATTGTTATTGGTGAACTTTTTTTTTTCCTTTGAACTCTGAATGTAGAGAATGTTATTTGAATTTTAAAAATTGTCAATATCCATTTTAACCTCATAAATGACAACTTTTATTTGTCTATATAATGAAATTTTAATATTATATTATAATTAATAATTTATTATTGAAATTAACATTTATTATTATAATTAATAATTAATTCTTAATAACACTATTATAATAGTATTAATAGTGCTAATATTATTACTATTATAATAATATTAATGATTTATTATTATTATAATTAATTATTCGTTATTAACAACCAATAATCAATTAATTAGTTATAAAATAAAATGGATAAAAATTATAAATAAATAAATATTTTTAAAGAACTTAGAATTTAACGATTAATTAATTATCCATAAATAAATAATAATAATAATTATTAGATGTTTAAAATAAATAATTAAATAACAATGTTTAATAAATATATAATTAGAAATCTTTGCTGTTTTATAATTTACAATTAATCGGTTAAATAAGTAATTAAATACAAGTAAAAACTCTATAGAAATAATTATTAAATAAGTAAATAGATAATTAATTAAAAATTAAATACTGATTACATAATTGAGGAATAGAATATTTAATTAATTATTTTTGTTAATAATAATAATAATAATAATAATAGTAACTAGAATGTAATTATGCTACTAACAAAAAGTTGTAAAGATTCATCTTAATATATAAGAGTTGAGAGGAAAGGAACAAGCCCTTAGTTTAGACAAAAAGGACATGATGAGAGAGAAATAGATAGAAAGAGGAGATTTGATATGATGCCTTTTGCTTTGATATGGTTATCTTTGCAAATTCCTGTTCTAAGAAGCATTTATGTTTATAATTCATTTATTAAAATTGATGGGGAAATACTTGCTCAAGACATTTTAGGCTAATATTGGTAGTGTAAGTGGAACAATCTCATAATGCACCATCCTCCCTAGGTTGGAGAGAACCCAAACTCGGATTTATGTTACCACTTAAGAGGTCACCAACATATATTATTGCATTTCCACTACGCTTATTTGTTTCTAATCATCTGATAGATAATTGGTGGTGTAAACCTCCAATACGAAATGAAATATCTTCATTACATCTCTCAACTTCTAAAACATATTTTTTTATCTTCAAATATTATAGTTTTTTTTCTCTTGACCAATCATAAAGATTGCAAAAATGATTGACAATATGGATATTCGTAGACTTGTATTAAGACAATGTTATCAAAG